ATCAATAAATCATCTTACTAATATTTAAATTTATTAGGATGCTTTTATATTTTATCTAACATTTACTTCAACACATATATTCGATTAAGCTATTTATATTTAATAAGTAACACTTATAAAACATTTCTAAAACATACATGGCGAAATACAATTTATTTATTTTTTGCGAAATACAAATATTTCTATGATCACACTTATAAAATATTTTTAAATCCTTCAAAGATTTCTAAAATATATCGTTCCAAATACAAAATTTTATTTTTTTCAAATATAAACATTTCTAAGATCTACAGATAGACTGGGCCAGGGTCGCGCATTGCGCGACCAGACATCACTAGTATATATATATATATATATATATATATATATATATATATATATAGTGAACTTCACTATTTTCGGTGCTCTTAAATTTTTAATTATTTCAATTAGAAACATGCATTAAGTTGAGCGTTGTTGTCGTTTTAAAGAGGGACAAAAACTAGCTTAAGGTCTCCAATATTTCACAACTACTGTACATAGTTCTCCATTCCACATCTATCACTAGCTTTCATTTTTTTTTTTTTAATTTTTTCATTGGATCGACTTTACACATTAATCTACAAGATGCATGGGTGAACTTAAATCTATTTATACATTTTGCGGTGTACTTTTTTTTTCTTTATCCGAAATGATTATGAAAATTATTATTTTTAGTAAATAAAGACAACAATCATTTTAAAACATGAAAAGTATTATGCAAAAAATTATTTGAAAGATGCATAAATTAAACTAGTAGGCCAGATTACTCAAAGATAAGGGTGACTCTAAAAGCGATTAAGAACAGAGAGAATCGTAATTAACAACAATAATCAGTCAAAAGGAAAACTCTATAGCGCAGATCATAGTTTGTGAAACAAGATAAGGGTCCCGGAGAAGAACCCCTCATTATTTGCCATCGAACAAATCACCTTGTACGATTGACCTTTATAATTTAATTTTTAAATATCAACACCATTGGATCAACTAATAATTAATTAATTATGATGAGAGATCATCATCAACAGTTAGATTACGATTAATCATGTTTCCACATATTGAATTTCATTGAACTCGATTTCATGTATGAGTTTTCTTGGTGTGCCATGCCATCGGATGGGATTACAAAGTGTTTTGTATTCCTTATTAGTAGTATAATTGTTACAATCAAGCAATACTTGTCAGATACCGTCATGGTTAACTTAAAAAGGAATATAATAGATGAATCCTAATTTTTGTTTTTTGTTTTTTCATTTTGCGCAGACATCTATCTCGATCAACCCGTGTCACTCTTCATTTTCGTCTTCGTGTATGATTTTGTGACATTTAAACAACCAATTTATGTCTGTTTTCTCAACCAGTCAACTATCACTCATTATTAGCATTGTTGGCACCACGTTTCTTGACAAGCAAAAAATTCTTGGCTCAACATGGAAAATTGCTCACTCTTATAAGGGCCGTTGGTTTTGAACTTGGAGGGAGACATTTATCATCCCACCAAAATGGCACGAGACAAAAGACCGAAAGGACTCAAAAGGATTTGGTCGACCAAGAACGACATTGATGATAAGGATTTTTGGAGCCTTTGAAATCACCATCTATATATATCTACATGTAGTTATCTTCCATTTATGATTAATTGCTCTCATTCTATTGCTACTCAATTTGACCCTTTTTTTTTTGCCATCAAAGAAAAGGGGAAAAAAAACCTTGGTCTGGTTCACATTTATTTACCATGGCTTTTACAATGTAAAGTTCTTAGACGACAAGATAAGAAAAGGGGTTAGTTTAACTTTTCAGTTCATTTTACATTCTTGCAAGAAACCTCACTCATCCTATCACATACATATACACATCATAAGTTGTAAAGTGATTAATTCTACACTCAGTTACTTATATTTATTTCACTATTTGAAGCTACCATAGGATCTGATTATAATTTGGGAACCAATTTATACTGCTCACCTCACATTATGTCTGGCAAGTATTATAATTCAAACTGATATGGAAAAATCAAGTATTATATATACTGTGATTTTAGCATCAGGAGCGCTGGCTTTCACTTTCATCATCACTTGTCATTTTCACTATCAATTTGAGATCACGTATACTTGACTTTAACTATGACATATTGAAGGCAAATACTCCAAATTCGTAAGAGTTTCGGCTCATTAAGGAACTTCGATCAACAGCCCTAATTAAATCACAACATGCCAGCCATTAGCCATATACATAATACACGGATTTCTGATTCTTGTAGCCTAGAAGTTTTTCCCGATACTTGTCCCGTTGTGTTGGCCTTCTGACTCGATATTCCTTTTCTCTTGTCAAAAAGATCTATACTTATTGATTCGCATTTTTTTCCCCCCTTAAAGAACTCAAAAAAGGTTAACTTACGTACACTTCTATGATTATACTCAGGGCTTATTTGATAAAATCACTTAATACTTAAAATTATTAGCTTAACTATTTTTTCATTTCAGCATGTTTGATAACAAAAAACGAACCTCTTAATGAATTAAGTGGTGATGAAACTGCAGTAAAAAATATAAGCAATAAAATTTAGTTTATTACTTATTCCTAACTGCCTAGTGAATTCAGTATTTTTAACTCAGTGTTAAACATTCAGAATTAATCTCTAATTTATATCAAAGAGTCCCTTAGACTGGAAATGGGATTAAATTAAGTTGCTAATGAATTCTGTAACACAATCACAGCAACATAAGGAATACTCCATCCGATCCTTATTATAAGGTATTTTGACTTGTCCTAAATTTTATTTAGTATGTTTTTCTAATTGAACATAAAATCTTAAAAATGTATTTTTTTTTACATTTATTTTGTTCTCCCAAATATTATAAAATAGTTTTAAAGTTTTATTTTCATTTGAAAAACATATTAAATGAAACTTAAGATAAATTAAAATATTTTATAATAAGGACACGAGGGAATACATAACAACGAAGAAAACCCAGAAAACGAAATTTCAGAGTAAAGTCATAATCCATTCACCAAAAAAAGATCAGGGCACTCAACAAATTCGAAGATAAGTGGTCACACAAATCTTGATGTAGATACTTTGTAGAACATGCTACAATGGTTGGCTAACAGTTCAAAGGTAAGTTTGTATTTGCAATTTAAGGTTAAAAAAAAAAAAAAACAATGATGGGTTATTAATAAATCTTCTTCTCCACATTCATAAAGAAGTGTGAAAAGGTTCATAAGATAATTGAAATGCCACATCAATGTCCAACCCAGCTAGCTTTAATTATTTTCTGTTTTTGGATGGTGAAAGCTTGGTGGGGGCAAACTACAATTTGTTTTAGGAAACTTTTTTATTTTTTTTTGTACAAAAGAACGAGCTTATAATAACTTCAACTGAAATCTCTATCAATCCAGTTCATACAAGTCCAGACTCCATATCATACAAAAAAGCCATTTTTTCAGCTACATTTTTCACAAATATGATGCGAAAACTTGAACTTTGAAGTCGATTTCATTATTATTGGCTTACAACGGTAACACCACTCATAGGGTTCTTTTTTTCTCTGAGTCTCTTTTTAACTTTTTTCTTGCCATTTGTAAAGCAAGCTCTTGTGTTGAACATTTCTCCAGTCATCAATTCTCCCAGAAAAGCAATGACTTCCAAGTTGTCGGTTAATCTCTGCATTAGTTAAGATAAGAACTAGCCGAATTATAACAGTTAACTCGACAAAAGTGAACTTTTAGTACGAAACAGAGGAACTCATTGCTAATTAGACAGTTATTACGTTACTAAAATCTCCAAATTTGACGATTCAGATAATGTTTTGGAAAGGGTTTGAATGCTGGAGGAAAAGCAATGTTCTTGACTATGAACAACAGCAGTGTGTTCATTACACTAAACTGAGTAGTTAAGCTGCAAAATGGTTTGATTAGTTTTTGTTGGTCCCATCTTAATTTCAAATAGTTAGCCACTTTTGGGGGGGTTGCATTTCAATGTGAAATCCAAGCCCAGGAACTGAGAATTTTTGTTCCACCAAGTTCTGCTTTTGGCCAAAAAGGTTAGCTGCTAATAAGCTGATTAAGTACTTTCAGGACCTCCTTTCTTTTTTGAACAATGGGCCATAACATGACACAATCACTTCAATAAACTATGGAAAAGTGTTTTGTCTGACTCAGGTTGATGTGGAAGCACCTTTTGTAAGAGCTTCAAGACTTAAGAGAAAGAAGACTAATAAAGATTGAGGACCAAGAAACAATTCTACTTTTGTAAAACATTCCACATTGCCTCCAACTCCAACTAGCTGCAATCCGTTCAGAGCATGCCATTCATCAAATCAAACCATAACTGTCATTCTTTTTGATTTAAAAGGGATATAACTGTTTAGGCTAGTAATAAGTTTATACAATTAGTGGCAGAATTAGTCCCCTCCTATTACTAGTGAAAACCTCTTCAGACAGACTTGACTAGACCACCTCCAAAGAATTTTTCTGATTGGTTGGATGTTTAACAAATTTCTGGATCTTACTCACTAATTTCGCTACTGGTTATAATATCTAACCGAAGATAAACTTGACCATTCAATTCTTTAAGACCAGACTCGACTGAATCTTCTTTAAAGGGTTTTTCTGACTGGTTGGATACATGAAAGATCCCACGATCTTATATGTTAGTTTCAACACTCGTTACGTTAGGCAACCAGATTAAAATGACCATTTGACTCAGATGTATTTTCCACTAATTTTACACATTTATCTTTCTAATGTATAGGACTATATCATCCTTTATAGGTTACATTATTATCATCCAATTAGTACAAAAGATGCAAACGCTAAATATTTATTTAATGTCATGTTGGGGTTCAACTAAGTGTGAACGGGGTTTTGGATTTGTGGGACCTTCTTGTGGAATTTTGGTAGCTTCAGACAAGCATTCAAACTTTCGGTGTTCTGTATTTTAGGACTGTTGGCTTCATACATACATACAAAACACATAGTCACACACTATATATACTCCCTGCCACTCTTCCAGTTTTACTCTACCAATTCCAATCATCTTCCTCTTTAGTAAAAGAACTATCTTTTCTCTAATAACCTCTTGCTTCAGCGCTCAATCACTGGTCAAAATTTTTTTAAAACTAGACCATTTTCATAATTTTGTTCTATATCCCAATTTGGTACTGTTCAATATTTGTCCAGTTCTCAGTTTTTCTTCGCTCCCTAGCAACTAATTTCAAAAGAGTATTTGGGAGGGAGGGGGAGGGATATCATTCTACTATTGCATAGGAACCCTTCTTCAGGAAAATGTGTGTGCTGTTCAAATTCAAAGGATGCGTTTTGTGGAAGTTCTTTGAAATTCTTGAGAAAAAAATTGATTTAGATACAAGCTTCTATTTTTGGATATTCCAGATTTTCAATAGATATAGCATTGACACTTAGCTTACACTACTACTTGATTCACATTGCCCTGATCTTCTAGCTGAAGAAGTGCTCTGTTTTCCTCTGTTTTTCTTTGATAGTCTTAGAGAGTGTGTGTATAATTTAGGATAACACTAACAGAATGGGAGGAGCTTCACTGCCTCCGGGATTTCGATTTCACCCGACTGACGAAGAACTGGTTGGTTACTATCTGTCAAGGAAAACAGATGGCCTTGAAATTGAACTTGAAGTAATCCCAGTGATTGATTTGTACAAATTTGACCCGTGGGAACTACCAGGTAATTAATTTAGTCTACATATCATATGTCCTCTAGTGGTTACATTAGCGCGTCAGTCATTTCACTAATAAGACACGATTGAAGACTCCGTGACAGAAAGATGTTACAGTTGTCAAGGTGGAAACACAATTCTGTTTGTCTGAGAAATGTTAATCATCCTGGAAAGTTTATTCTTTTATAGGTGTTGGTTATTTCTTTTGTTCTTTATTATTCTGTTTATGAAAAGAGGCAGTCACAATGGGTGATTGTGGGACATGGTACCTTTAAACTTTTCCAAATCCTTCCATATCTGCTCCAAGCAAATTTCACACTAAAGCAAAACACAACCCTGATGATTAACCTGATAAGTATATTACTTTACTAATGCTTTTGTTGTTGTTCTGAATTTGCAGAGAAATCATTCTTGCCGAAGCGGGACATGGAATGGTTCTTCTTCTGTCCCAGGGACAAAAAGTATCCAAACGGCTCGCGAACTAACCGAGCAACTAAATCAGGATACTGGAAGGCAACAGGAAAAGACAGGAAGATAGTATGCCAGCAGCCTTCGGTAACAGGTTACCGAAAGACGCTGGTATTCTACTGTGGAAGAGCTCCACTCGGGGACAGAACCGATTGGGTGATGCACGAATACCGCCTTTCTGATGATGTTTCTCAAGGCAGTCCAGTTTTTCAGGTATATGTATCACACAAATTCCCATTTCCACAGTAAAGAATTCATTGCAAATTGTCTAAACATTTTGTGTGTACAGGGACCTTACGCCTTGTGTCGAATCATCAAGAAGAATGAGATGAAGGGAAGTGATTATCATCATTCTTCAGAATCAACCCTTAAGCATGTTGGAAGCAGTTCCAGAATTGGGAATTCTGGCACAAGTTCAGGCCCAAGTAATAATGATCCTGTGGTTATTTCAGATGATATTACAATCCAAACAAGTTATGTTGGAAATGAGAGTAATTCCTCTACTCCAGCTACTTCACCTTATCATCAGAGTACACACTTGGGGGGAGATCAGTATGATCATCACTCTAATAACACCTACTCTTCAATGGGAACATATAGTAACAATCTTTGGGTCTCTCCTGATATGATCCTTGATTCCTCAAAGGTATATAAATGAGAATGTAGCCGCGATTTTTTTCCATAAATTCAGTGAAATGACTCAAAACGATGTGGCACATATGAAAAAGAAAATGACTAATGATCTTGTCTTTCTGTTTGTGTCACGTTATTTATCGAGTCATTTTACTGAAAGAATGCACTAAAAATATCGCTACTCTTTTAATTTACAGTCTCGTCTAATCGTGTCTATAAATAATACAGGACTATTCTCAAGGACAGGGAGGTGCGCATGGATCATATCACCCACAGTTTGATTTCCAAAATGCAAATTCCATGCAGGCATTCAACCCATATGAAATCTCACCATGTTCATCAAACTCAAATTTTAGAGAGGAAGTTGAACCAAACAGTGATGATTTCAGCAGATATGGGTGCATGTCACCTTACACTGTTCATGGAAGCTACATGGGATATTATGGGAATGAGGACATCATGTATGATGGGTTTGACATTCCCAAATCACTTGGGGATCCAAATCACTTTTGAAAATCAGCTCCAAACGAGGACATCATATATGATGGGTTTAACACCCTTTTGGACTTTGAAAATTTGGGATCTCCAAAATTTCAAAATCTTCATCAGCGCTTACGGATGCACAAGAGACAAAATAATGGTCACAGTTACTACATTTACCTAGTATGAAGTCAAAAGCAGAGTACTAAGGATATGCCTCCAAGACAACTCTTTTTTAACGTTTGTCTTGGTGTGGTAAAAAACATGTATTTTAAGCTTTCCTTTTTCAGATGTTTAAATTCTAAAAGTTGTGTCTGATAAGTCTCTGTAATAATTGGTGATGTTTTTGTTATCTTCAGTGACTTTCCCATCCGGGTTTACGCCGTCGTCGTTAATAAACCTATCTCTGGCACTCCTCATTTCTATGGGTGCACCAGAAGGTTTTGTATTTTGAATTTTGATTTTGTATAATCTGTATGGAATTGTGTTATTATGAAGTAAAGTTTGCCTCAGTTTTTTAAGATGACCATCATTTCTTGTTGTTGATTGAGGTAAAGCTGGACTTGAGCAGCTATATATCACTACAACAAAAATGAGCTATTAATACTTTTATAGTGGGGCACTTTTTCTAAAATGTGTCTCATTATATGTGTATTAGGACATTTGCTAAAAAGTGTCTTATTAAAAATGAAAAATTGTATGCATATTATGAAACACTATCATAAGTGTACTATGTGGGGTTGCTTGTGAACTATTACCCTACTTAATGGGTCACTTTAAAGTGTCTTAATAAGTGATAATCCAATAATACACTTTCAAATGTTTTATGACTTTTTGTGACTCGATTATAGGAGACACTATTTAGTAGTGTCCCACGCAATGTGAATCACATGTGTCCTATTACACCACTTATTGAGACACAAAAAAGTGTCTAAACTACTCATTTTTGTTGTAGTGTATGTACACATGAGAATAGAATACGGTCACATACGCCCTTTTCCTTGACAAACTATCCAGTTTCTGGTCATTCCATGCATTGAACGCGCATAGAGTTGCAAACTGACCAAAATGACCAAGAAGCATAGTGTAGTGACCAAAATGTGTATGATTGGTCAAAAGTTTTGCATTAGTGTAACCTTTTAATACTCTCTTCATGCCAAAATATACATATAGTTTGTCACACTATTTAAATTTTAAAATATACTACCTTCGTTCCAAGAAAATAGTCTATATTGAGTTTTTAAATTTATATAAATAACAGTACAAAACTCAAAACTCAATGTGGACTATTTTTTTGGGATGGAGGGAGTAGTTTTTTTAAGAAGGGAGAGAGTACATTATGGATTTTAATATCTCTAGTTAATTCTCTCTTACAATATCATATACATAACGAAATGAACATATTTACAACCCGTTGCTGCAACTTGGTTTCATGAGAAACTGACACTAGATCAAATGACATTATTGTTTCCAACTGTTAGTTACTCTTGAATAGATTGCGTAAAGAAGGCTACATGGATAAAAATGATTTTTTTTTAGTTCATAACAGTTTAACAAATTCATTGTTGTGATGGTCGATACTATATGATAAGCATTAAAAAAAAAAAGAAAAATCTTTTGCAGAAGAATTGAGTTTTTCCAACCAAAAGTCTGCAATATTGCTTTCGTAGCAATGAACAACTAGGAAACACAAACAAAGATTTCTTACTCAACAAAGTGGTAAAGCCACCTGATGAGGTAATTCGAAGTGTAAATGTTCGAGCAAGAATCGAGAAAAAGTCATGCCAGTATAATAATCTGCAATTTTTTGCTCACAAAAGATCTCAAAATGTATTTCGACCCTTTTTCCCCTTCGGTTACCCACATTTTCATAAAGAAGCAGCACATCCAAAACACTTCAGAGAAAGTGCATTTTTTTACTTCTCATATTAATAAAAAAATAGATGCTCCAGAAAATAGTAACATATTCTCCCGCCCCCTACTTCACCATCAACAATATAGTACCTACATTGACCTTACAACTTGTTGCTAGCCAATGGAGAATCAAATTAAGCGTGTGGCCCTTGAACACTAAACAAATAAAATCCATTTATTCATCTCTTTTTCTCCAGTTCTTTTTCTTCTCTGCTTTTGATCAGTGCTCCACTTCCTAAATGAGGAACGGATTCCTGATTTTTCCTTTCCCTGATGTGTAATTTATTACATAGCTGTAATGAAAACAACACATAAAAAAGATCATTGGATTAGTCTCCAAGAAACTTCTCAAAGTCCATGAAGGAAGGTTTGATTCAAGCCATGAAGTTTTTCAAAGCTTCTCAAAGAATCGCAGACCATGTTTTTGATCATTGCAATGCCTAGTTTTAGTCGATTATATTCCGCGGTCATTAGACCCCTATAACATCACGATCCAAATACGGTTTTACACATTCTGCTATTTCATACTTCTATTGGGTCAGTATTTTCTGGCTGTGCTTTAAAGGATTTGGCGAGGATTTGGGTTGGATTAGGCGAAGTGGAAAGCCACGAATCAGGCTTTTAGAAGGCTCAAGGCCCGACGTGAGAAAAAAAACCTAGTTACTGTTGGATTAGAATTGTGAACCGACTGGAATTTGAGCATTATTTAAAAAGATTGGCGGAGGAAGGATATAATCAAAATAGCATCAAGTTGCTTCTTTTAACTTCCAGTCTTTTATTTCCATTTAATCTCTCAAACTAGGGTTCTTCTAGAACTCCTTGAATTAGGCCGATTAACGGCGGTTGTATTTGATTTTCAGAAGTTATAATAAAATCTGGCCGATTTCCGGAATCCTTATATTTGATTTATTTAGCACAGAATATTAAGAACAACGCACAAGATTGTGCAAACATATTTTTGGCACGTCCGGTGGGACAATACAATTCCGTGCTAACTAAGTCAGGATGTCTACTGTAACTACGACAGATGTGATCCCTCCTGATCTATCATTACCATCGGCAAGTACGGCGGTTCCAACACAAACGTCAACCTAGACTTTGAAGGGGCTGACGCCAGATGATTCACCAAAGTAAACAGGTACTAGTGAGTCCGGTGTTCAGTAAAGATATAATGAGTGCCATGGCAATATTAGTTGACCGGGTAAATTCGATGCAAGCAGAACTGGGTGCCATCAAAGCTCCGGGGCAATGACCAGTTACACCAAGTTTCTTAGAGCAAAAAAAGCAAATGAGTAAAATGCCGAAAAACTTCAGCATTAATCCTTTGCACTTTTTAGGTCATGATACTCCGGGATCGTCCCACCTTACAGCAGGTCCATCTTCACGCTTATCGGTTGAGAAATCTGGTTCGAAATAGACACCCAGTAGTTGGTATGAGAAGGTGGTGCCAAGTCAGCCGGCGTTTATTCCTCCATATGGGAGCTTCGGCAGATCAGCCCCACCAATCTCTGAACAATATCAGCTGTATTTTGCAGCAATAGCCACGAAATGGGTACCTCCAGCCATTGAATCGGCTGGGCAGATTAAGACCGATGAATGCAGCCAACGGATGTACACGGAAGAAATCGTTTGGATACAAGACCGGTTACCTGACGGGAGTTTTGTGCCGATGACCCTGTACAAGGTTTTCAAAGGGGCGATTTCCCTTGCAGCTTTACAAACAATATCAACTACCGCACCAGCAACGGAGTCGGCAGTGGTCAACCAACAGACCCAGCAGATGGTGGAACAACAATCGGTAGCTGCCGACAATAGATTGTTGGCTCTGTTGGGAGGATCGTCAATGCCGCCTCATCCTACAAGAGAAGAAGTGCAAGAGAACCGATTGTGGACTGGGGTGGAATATGAACAAAACAGGAATCGAGAAGCCGCCACTAGGATTGCTTCCGCAGGCTCCAATGCGGCCCAAAACACCAACACCCCTAGGATACCGACTCAAGTACCGGTTGGAATTTAGACACAGTATGTCACAATGGCCAACCAACAAGGACAGCTTCAATATTTTCAAGTGTTGCAACTCCCTAATCACCACCCCCAGTTGGTATTAGTGGTTAATCCGCCAGTTGGTGCAATAGGGAATGGTTCCTAAGCAACAAGGGTTCCTTTGATGCATCAAGGGCCTATGCTCAATGGAGTGCATAATCAGCCTCAGGAACCGGTGATCAATCAGGCCGCTGCACATAATAATCAAGCCGGCAATCAGATACCAATGGCTCAAGGGCATGTAGAAAATGCTGGGCAACAAGCAGCTGGCACAGGACAAACGCCGCCTATTAATACGAATCCGGCATTGACGGCTGATCAGATTGAATTGCGATGCTTGATGTCAGAGGTGTTACGACGAGACTTAGGGTTCAAGATTCCGGAAGTACCAGGATAGCCGTACCCAGGTTCGGTCGATTTGGAACCTTTTTCCTGAAAATTTAAGATGCCTACGTTCACTAAGTTTTCAGGAGATGATGTTACAATCCCCGAGCACCATATTTGGACTTTTGAGCTAGAGTGTAGGTAGTTAGCAAATAATGAATTGCATAAGTTGCGGTTGTTTCCACAATCATTGACCGGTACGATGTTGGAATGGTATCGAACATTGAGACCTAGGTCAGTGGCGAACTGGGACGTTCAAAAGGAATTGTTCTTACAGAACTTCTATGTAAGCAAACCTAAACGTATTATTGTAGACTCGCATGATGTTAAGCAAAAGCCCGTTGAAATCGGGGAGCAATATTTATTAAGGTGTAGGCAGATGAGAGCCACGATACCAGAAGAGTACCCAGAACAAACTATCATTACTATGGCCATAGCTGGGTTAACCAATTTCTGATTGAAATTCGGATTGACAGGGAGAACTGTCCCGAACTTGGGTGAGTTGGCTGAAGCGATTTGCTAATTAGATAAGGTCATTGTAAAGGAAGCTAAGAGCTGCAAGGGTCGTGGTAGACAGTGGTTTAATCCTCCTAATCAGCCGTCAGTGAATCAGGCTCAGTGCTTTGGCTTAGATGAGGAAGATGAATTTGAAGACATCAATGCGGCTGAGATAGTGATTATGAAAGGGTATAAGTGTAGCGCCTTAAGGAAACCTAGCACTCCGTAAGCATATGGTATACCACCAGGACCGGGAACAGTTGCCGGTGTGAAGCCACATGCTGATCCTAATTATCCAGGACGGACGTATTCATTTGATATTACCCAGCAAGAGGCAATCTTTGAAGATATGTTGAAGATTGGTCATGTGACTTATCGGAAGGGGCAAAAACAACCAAAACCCGCCGATATTGAAGGAAAAACTTATTTCAAATACCATATGTCCATGACCCACGGAACCAACGATTGTGTGGTTTTCTGGAACGTCATACTGAAGATGATTGATAGTGGGGATATTCAAGTGGAAGAACTAGTGGCAGTAATGATAGAACCGTTTCCGGTAAACCATGTAGTGGGAATGATAAATATGGATCCGCGAGCAGCTGCCTATGCTAGACAGAAGATAAGTGTTGGTTGTCAGGATTGCGATCAAGTGGTTGACTCAATGAAAGAGCAAGTTTCCCACCTA